CTGTCTCTGGGTGTCTCTGTGTGTGTCTGTGTGTGATTGTCTTTGTGTATCTTCGTGTTTTTGTTTGTCAGTGTGTGTGTCTGCATGTTTGTCTGTGTGTCTTTGTGTGTGTTTGTCTCTGTGTGTGATTGCGTGTGTGTATGCCTGCATGTTTGTATGTGTGTCTGTATTGTGTTTCTGTGTCAGTGTATATGTGTGCCTGTGTGTCTATGTGTCTGTGTATTTATCTGTATGTGTAATTGTGTCTGTATGTGACTGCGTGGGTGTCTGTTTGTGTCTGCGTACGTGTGTTTGTTTGCCTTTTTTCTACCTGTGTGTGTCTGTAGGTGTGTTTGTCTGTGTGTGTTTGTCCATGTGTGCCTGTGTATGTCTGCGTTTGTGTGTGTTTGAGTGTGTGCATGTATATATGTGTGTGTCTGTGTCTGATTGTACCTGTGAATGTGTGTGTGCGTATGTGTGTCTGTCTGAGTGTCTGTGTGTATCTCTGAGTGTGTATCTCTGTATGTGTATCTCTGAGTGTGTATCTCTGTATGTGTATCTCTGAGTGTGTATCTCTGTATGTGTATCTCTGAGTGTGTATGTGTGTGTGTGTTTCTGTGTGTGTCTCTGTATGTGTGTATGTTTGCGTGTGTGTCTTGTGTGTTTATATGTGTCTGTGTATGTATCTGGGTGTGTCTGCCCGTGCGTGTATGTGTCTGCGTGTGTGTCTGTAAATGAATGTGTGTGTCTCTTTGTGTGTGTTTGTGTCAGTGGATCTCTGTCTGTCTGTCTGCCTGTCTGTCTGTCTGTCTGTCTGCCTGCCTGTCTGTCTGTCTGTCTGTCTGTCTGTCTGTCTGTCTGTCTGTCTGTCTGTCTGTCTGTCTGTCTGTCTGTCTGTCTGTCTGTCTGTCTGTCTGTCTGTCTGTCTGTCTGTCTGTCTGTCTGTCTGTCTGTCTGTCTGTCTGTCTGTCTGTCTGTCTGTCTGTCTGTCTGTATGCGTGCATGTATGTATATGTGTGTGGCATGTGTGTGTATGTAATGTGTATGAATATGTATGTGTAAGTGGGTGTCTGTTTATGTTAGTTGGTGTGTATGCATGTGTGTGTAGGTGGGTGATTGGGCGTATGCATTTGAGTATTTGTGCCGATGCGCTAGTGTGTGCATGCATTTTACCAACGATGCCTTTGTGTTTTCTCTTGATATACATAATATGCATATTAAGTTAAGAACATAGCATGCTTTATTCATAAAATACAACTGCTGAAAGAAAATTGGGTGTTTGGAAGAGACCAATGTAAGACAGGCCTGTGTGCTTAATTTTTAACATTTGAAAATAGAGTTCGTTCGTTCGTTCATTTGTTCGAGATGACAAAACCATCTGAACCTCTCAATGATCCCATTGCAAGGTGTTGTTTTCACATTCTGTCGGAGAGAGTAATTTTCACTGGGTATCGTGTTTTAGTTTAGTTAGCCGATTACCTCATTCATTTATCTTAGCATGTGGTAATGTTATACAGTTTCGCCTTCGATATTGTCCTGGCGTGGCAGTGGTAGCCCAGTAATGGTATGAAAGGAAGTTTATAATCTGTTTCTCGGCGGTCATGCATATTTGTGAGTGTCGTAATAGCAGTCTTTGGACACACACACACACACACACACAAACACACACACACACACACACACACACACACACACATATATATATATATATATATATATATATATATATATATATATATATATATATATATATATATATATTAAATAATAAAAGCCATATGTTTCAATAAATAACAGGTCTGAATAAATGAAATGAAAAAAAGGCAATTTAAATAAAATATCAATACTTAGATAATAGTTCTCACCAAATTAAAATGGTAATATACACGAGCTTATTGAAATGGTAATATATGGACATGTATTTTTAAATGCAGTGACATACTTCGTAATCTGCAAGGAAAGTGCACTATCGAATTGGTAGGAATAGATAAAAATATCACAAGAGAATACAATACAAACAATAGCATGCAATGATTACAGGAAAGATATCATTGACAACACAGGATTCAACATTGATTTTGTCACATGGGCATATTGGGATTTTGTTGCTCGCTTTCCTTCATTTTGATTATACTTTTGTGTTATCATGATTTTATGATAGCAAAATTATCTCTTCTGTAATTATTCTCCAATTAGAAAACAAAATAGATGCTTTTTTACGATATTGTCAAATTCGGCATTTGACGACGCTGTATCCAGAAGGAACTCTGTGGCTAAGAGATGGTTAAACCGTTCTTCTCACGCTCTGAAGATCGCGGGTTCGCTTCCCAGCCTAGGACGTTTGAATTAGTCATTGCCGCACGAGTTATTGAGTTTGTGCGCTGTGTGATTTTTAAGATAGACAAATCAGTGCTCGCATTTCCTGGTAACCATTTCCGACTGCGTCTTCTGGTAATTTTAAAAATTCGCATCTATGCCAATTCGAACCCAAGACAATCGCGCTGGCAGCAAACCCCTCGACACAATGCTACCGGAGTTGCAATAAAAATTGTTGTCTCCTGGTGACAAAGTAGTTGAGTTGTTTCGCTTTCATTCTAAGCTGCATGGTCGTTTTTAGAGCGAAATGTTCCACTCCTTATTGCCTTTGTTTTTTCTAATATACTAAAACAAACGTTTAAAAAAAAAAAAATTAATAATAAAATAAAACCAACAGCACTGTTTTAAATTTTCTAGAATCTGTAAGCCTGACTGACTTTCTACCACCCCCCCCCCCCTCCCCGGACATCACACAAGCGATAAACATCCGATAACACAATGTGTCACCATGGGGGTGAGGATCACCATGGAGAGGTACCAGAAACCGTGTTCAGCCTTTAGGCCATATTTATGGCCAGGCTATATTGCGGCCCCTGGCAAGAGCCAGAGTAGGGCTTCAAATTACGAAAAATGTCATCCTAAAAAGGACGGGAAGTAAAAAATCTGTAAGTAAACCCTCTTTTACTCAATTACGTAGAATCTGATACACAATGATAGTTTCGTCTTCTTATAGAACATTTGATTTTGTTTACCAGAAAATATCCAGGTCTAAATTTTAGGTCAGTTTAACAAACTTAGGTCAATTTTCTTCTTAGTGATCATCCGCTGTAAAGTCCGGAGAAAATTTGTGGCTATTCGTCCACATCTGGACTTTGGTGTTGTTGCTGAATGTGAGTTGTATGTGCACTAAGGGTAATTTTTTCTCTCTCTCTCCAAAGCCCAAACTCATCCTCTTAACACCACCACTATTTACTATTGTCCAATGTTTGTTAAAGTTAGTTTTGTCACATATACAATAGTCCCCCTCCCCCCCCCCCCCCCCCCCCCCCAACCTACCATGAGAGAGAAGAACTTCACAATGTTTCTTTTTGGGAGATTTTTATGGGTCCTTTTTTCTTTGGACCACTATTCATTCGAAGTTATTCTATATTTGATTATTTATATTTTTGTAATCAACCCAAATTATTACCATTGCCTTTAATGTACATTTAACAATTGTATCCAGTTTCGTCCTTTTTAGGACGACATTTTTTGTTGTTTGAAGCCCTACTCTGGCTTCTGCCAAGCGCCGCAATATAGGCAGGCCATAAAATGGCCAATTGTCTGACCGCGGTTTCTGGGACCTCTCCACGGCGATCCTCATCCACATGGTGACACTTTGTGTCATCGGGTGTTTATCGCTTGTGTAATGTCCTAGTGGGGTAGAAAGTCAGTCAGTCAGTCTACATTTAATATGAAACCTTTGAGTTTTATTTACCCTAATATTGTTTCTCTATATTTTTTGAGGTGAAGATCAATTTTTGTCTCCACTCTCTAAAGAAAAAAAACATATCGTTCTTTCGTATGGACTGACATGTATCTAAATGAATTTTAAAAACAAGGGCGCCGAAACCTGTAGGGCTAAGGCATCTGAAACCCCTTACTCACATCACCTACATTTTATGTGGAAGGTGGGGGTGGGGGGAAGGCTTTAGCGCCCCCCCCCCACACACACACACACACTATAGAAAAATTAATAACGGGGGTTGAGTGGCTGTCTCTAGTCTGGTTAAATGTTTTTTTTTTTTTTGGTTTAAAATATATAATTTTTAATGCGTTATTATACTTGTTTGCAAATAATCGCATTATTATAGGTAGTATTATGCGCTTAAAAAGGACTTATGTTTGTTGAGCCTCACCCCAATGTTTTCTTTATATCGGCACCCCTGATTAAATAATATATTTGCTTTTTAATATAGTGTATTTTGTTTAGCTTTCGCATAAAGTAATTAAGTTTTCTAGTAATTCGACATTGTATCTACGTTTTAATGTCATTTATGTAGTCTTCGAATTATCATTTCAGATCTATTTGCAGAACTGTTTACCTGTGACGCAGTGGAGCTGGGAACTTCAGTGAAGGAGGTGAAAATGCTGAGTGATCTACTCATTCTCCTCAAACTTGAATTGTGGATGAGTCTGTGCTGTCGGTACCTTTCCCACTGGCGCCTCAAAGCTTGTCGCACCTGAAAACGAGGGGCAGCAATTGGGAGTAATAAAGGGGAATAAGCAATATTGGAAATCTCACGTGACAACAACAGCGACATAAACCACGAAGGGCTGATTGATTTAGGGAAACATCCCACGAAGAACTGAGTTTATAGAATTGTGCAGCTATCTCCAGTTAAAATGTACAGAATTAAACCGACATCGTTACGGTAATATTTAAAACTGCAGTGAAAAAAGTCTGAAACAATATAGCATTAACTGCGAAGACTTGGCATTTACATACGTCCTAATGATTAATAAGATTTACCACCTAGTAACAAATGTTTCATACTTTTTAGTACGAAATTTTTCGTTATTTGAATCCCCACCCTAGCTTTTGCCAGGGGCCGCAATATAGGCAGGTCATAAATTTGGCCAATTGTCTAAACGCGGTTTCTTGGACCTCTCCATGGCGATCCTCATCCGCATGGTGGCACTTTGTGTCATCGGGTGCTTATCGCTTGTGTGACGTCCTGGTGGGGTAGAAAGTCAGTCAATAACTACTACGTCGTGTACTTGTTTTTAGGATGTATTTTTTTTTTTCGTTATTTGAAGCCCTGCTCTGGCTTATGACAGGGGCCGCAATATAGCCCGGTCATAAATATGGCTAAACGCGGCTTTTGGGACCTCTCCACTGTGATCCTCAGCCACATGGTGGCACTTTGTGTCATCGGGTGTTTATCGCTTGTGTGATGTCCTGGTGGGTGGAAAGTCAGTCAATAACCACTCCTATTGATTAAAAAAAACGTCCTCATGTGGGAAGCAACTTTTCGTTATTTGGAAGCCACACTCTGGCTATTTCCGGGGGCCAATCTACGACTGAACGGGGTTTCTGGGACCTCTCGACGGGTAATCATCATCCAAAAGATGGCACTTTGTGTCCCCTGGTGATTATCGCTGGGAAGGGTAAAAAGTCATGTTAGGTTAACCACCACTTTAAGACTAGATCTTTTCGTAGATATAGGTATATTTCCTATAGCGTTTGCGTGTGGCATCCTGTTTTTTACGGTGCGCCTCCTGGCTGGTTGCCTTCAACTTCGGCACCTAATTTTAATCATTTTGGTAAGCTGGATCGACGAAAGCACTGTCACAACTATGATGCAGAAGTTCCAACAGTCAAAATAGCAGCAGAGAAACTTGAATATACGTCATATTTCACAACCTACGGTATTTCTGATAGATGCAAGAGTCGTGCTTCAAGCACTCCTATCTGGAAAACTACCTTGTATACGAACACTACTCTCCAAACTAGGCAGCCGGTGTAAGGTAACAATGCAATGGATACCATCCCACTGTGGAGTTACTGGAAATGAAAGAGCTGATAAACTAACTAAGGAAGGTCCAAATGAAGAACAACCTGACGTACCAGTCTCTTATCAACAAAAGAAGAGAATAATCAAATCAATCAGAAAGCCACCAAAACAGGAAAAAGACGATTAATATTTTATGGACAGACAAGAGCAAGTTATTATTCTACGCCTTAGAACAGGACACAGTCGACTTCCCAGCCACATGTAAACACAATTTGAAATCGGCGAATCAGCCATGTGCAAATGTGGATTGGCACCTGAGACAACAGATCATGTCCTCCAAGACTGTACCAAATATAACATATCAAGGCAAAACTTTTGGCCAAGAGAAACATCAGTGCAAGTCAAACTTTACGGGTCGCTGAGTGAATTACAAAAGACAGTGAAGTTCAAACTAGAGACAACATTGCAGATATAGATAATCTATTTTAAGCGAACGGATGAAGAAGAAAAAGAACAGCCACTTTAGTGTGGGACACAAATTTGTGGGTTATTTAAAGCCCCACCACAGCTGTCGTCTAGGAGGAGAGGGGGGGGGGGCGGGGCACTAAATATAACCTACTGGTTAAACGGGGTTTTTAGAACTTGCGCTCGGGCGATTCTGACCCAAATAGTGGCACTTTGTTGTGGATCGCTCATTGTGCAGTCCTCGTAGGGCTGAACATGAATCATACATTCAAAGTATTATTAGGGCAGAATCACTTAAAACATTCAACACCCACCCACATTCGCCTACAGATAACTTCCTAACCGTCAGCTGCTCGGGCATCGTATCAGCGTTAGAAAACTGTTTACAATCAGATGGCCGGAGATGATTCCCAACACTGCTGTTCTAAACAAGACACATCTACCTAGCCTTCATACACTGCTGCAGAATTGTCAGATCAGCTGGGATGGTCACCTAACCAGTATACCAGACCACACGCTTCCAAAAATTTTAAAACGGCACACATCTAAAACCATTTAATACTTCTTTCATAATAAAAGTTCTACACCCCGGGTATCATTCTTGGTGATCCTGTATGACTGGTTTGCTACAGCTGAAAAAAGTGTCTAGGATTTGCTGGGTTTTAGAATTTTAAAATGTACCCTCGGCATCGAATTAGAAAATGCGACTGTTAAACGTGCGATCCACCACCTTAGGCTAGAGGAAGGAAAACACAAACTTCTCTTTCACGCGTGCCAGAGCCATCTGTGTGACCTCTTGGTTACCCCCGTATCAACACGTAAGTAAAGCAACATTTTACCGGCTTTGCGTTCTCCTAGGTCTCCCTCCTCCTTTCCACATCATCATCTTCTTATCCGAGAATCTAGACGCAAAACCACTATCAAAGAATCCAATGGCAAGGGAATTTGATATACTCGAGTTTCATATGCTGTAAAATTTGATATCGCTGTCAAAAAAGGTCATTTCTTTTTATTGATCGATCGGTCCGTCTGCTCTCGGATGCTGCCTGAATTTTTACCGCCCTGACATTAAATAAAAATCTCAGTTTGGATGACAGACCAACAGGGCAGATCTCAGATATATCTTTGAATCTCCATAAAGAATTTACAATTGGGGCACTCCTAACGGCTACACAAGGCCGATGCAATATGCAATCCTATTCGGATGAGGACGACTAAATATGTCCTATCTTCTTTGGAAGGGTGTAGCTCCCTGCCATTTAGTCTTCTACGACATTCAGTAAATCGCTATTAAATGTAAATTTGATCATTAAATAATAATCAGTAACACACACAACACACACACACACACACACACACACACATACGCGCGCGCATACACATATACACATACAATGGCTGGTGTTGATTCTGAAATGTCATGTAAAAATTGCGCAACTAATTAAAATCTGTCAGTGAACCTATCTTCCAGAAAACCTAGGATATAGTCTAAAGATAATATTGATTTCCCAAGTCAGGATACGCCTGCAGTGAGAATACATTATTTATACATAGGGTACCATTCCAAAATCGTGTCGGTCACAGTTGGCCATCTCACGCGATCCCCTGTCTGGAATCAAATATGTACTCTTGCCTCAATTATAAGAGGCGAAAATATCACGAAGGGGAGCACACAAACACACACGGAACACCTGCATCAGCAACTTAACATTTATAATAATAATTACAGTCAAATTAGTTCGCCCATCAATATAAGTAACTACCAATGTCATCAGAACCTGGTCTACGCCGCATGTAAAGAAATTTAAAATAAAATCAGCCGCTAAATAGGTTAATTCTCGCGCAGTAGAAACGATTGAAAATGAAAATTGTTGGCTCTGTAACCAAAACAAAAAGTCAGGGCTGAATCTGAGAGGAGAGATGTAACTACAGGGGTCTGATACTTGATAGGAAAAACCCACAAACACGTTGACAATTCAGTTTAAATGGAGACATATGGAGCTACTGTCACGGCAAGCCCTAAAAAATAATACAATTCTAAAAAAAGTCCCCAGTAATAAATTCTAATTTATGGAACAACACTTTTAGAAATAGAGATTAATGGACAGATTTATACGTGTGCAAAAACGCAGGACCAGTGTGCTCATTGCAATATTAAAAGACAATTTCTCGGCAGTTTGAAATTGAAAAGAGTGAGTTATACGAGCCATGAAAATATGCAATAAACCCTCCAATAAACGTTATTCCACGTGTTACTCCATAACAGTACGATGTGTCTATGGTCGGGGCGGCTAGAAAAACAAGCGAAAGGACCTTACATTTCTCTCGACACCCCATGTGGTAAAAGAAGAAGAGAAGAAAAAGCAGAATGAAATGTACTTCTGACAAAGAAAAATAGGAAGTGGAAAAAAAAATTCAGATTTCTTCATTGCGCATAAACTATGAGAACCCAGTCTAGTCTAGTAGTTCTCAAACTGGGTGCAGCGAGCGTTTGCCAGGGGTGCCGGGGCAATAATAAAGAATTTTTCAAAATCTGCGTAAGATCAGCGAAGGCAACAGTTTAAAGCAGAAATACCACGAAGAAAGCCAAGAAGAGTTCTAGATGCAGGTGTATTCAGAAAACAATGCTATTGGCAAGGCTGCGGTGCATCTTAACGTATGCTTTCATTAAAAAAATAAAAAAGCAACTTTTCAGTGATTTGAGGATATAATTAACTAAACTTTCCATAAACATAATGGAAATGAAACATTCATCCAAACAGTTTCATGCATCGCATTAAAGACAACTGAGCGTTAGATTTGCAGTTTTTCTTCTTCTTTTATTTCTTTCTTTTCTAAGTATTAAAACCGCTTAAAGGGTGGGTGTGCCGCGAACTATCTTTGCCCAAAAAGGGTTCCGTGGCGTAAACAGTTTGAGAAACGCTGGTCTAGACAACTTACCAACCGTTTTGTGGTGGTTTGTTCAAATACGCTTACGAGGTGGGTAGTCAGTGAGTGATCTCATGGGTTCAGAAAATAACGTAGGTTTAGAAGACACTTAAGTAAAGTAGAGGACCCTCTCCCATGTCTTTGGGCTTTTGGGTGTTTAGGGCTAGACCTTTTATTTTATAGAAACTGGCACTCGGTAGGAGATGTGGTCAGCATCGCGCCGGCTGCCTTTGCTTCACAGGACTTTATCTGGTGATTAATCCGGTCAAAATGGACGCTAAGCAGGGGTACTGTTTGGAGCCAAGGCAAATTTTTTGCTTCTGCAGGACGGT